CTTAAATCATTTTAAAATAAGAGAATCTTTTGAACGTCATAAAAAAGATTGTTTTAAAATTAATAAAGTTCACATGGTATTTCCAACAGAGGAAAGTAAAATTTTAAAATTTAAAAATTTTCAAAGACAGGATACTGTACCATTTGTTATTTATGCAGATCTAGAATGTACACTGACACTTACCGATGATGATACCGACATTCATATTCCTCATAGCATTGCATTTTACCGCTTTTGTAATTATGATAATAAATTATCGAGATTTGAAATTAATCGTTCAGAAAATTACATTGACTGGTTTGTAGGTAAACTTAAAAATTTTGCAATTGAAGTAGATTCATATTTAAAAAATCCAATACCTATGAAACCTTTGACTAAACAACAATTAGAAGAACATAAACAGGCAACTATTTGTTATATTTGCGAAAAAAAAATTATAAATCCTCAAGACAAATGTTACGATCATAATGATTTTACGGGATATTACAGAGGACCTGCTAATTTATCGTGTAATTTAAATTATAAAAAATCACATACGATACCGGTAGTTTTTCATAATATGTCTGGTTATAACTCTCATTTTATAATAAAATCTTTAGTTAAAAATTTCAAAGGTACACTTGAATTATTACCAATCAACAAAGATCGTTATATTTCTTTTACTAAGTATGTTGAAAAAACATGCGTTAATCTAAGATTCATAGACTCATTTAAATTTATGGCTTCTAGTCTAGATAAATTAGCATCAAACTTAAAAGAAGATGATAAAAAGATAACAAAGCTTCATTATAATGATCTTGAAAAATTTAGATTAGTCATTAGAAAGGGAGTATTCCCATATGAATATATAACATCGATAGATAAACTCAATGATACAAAATTACCTGAGAGGAAGCATTTTTATTCGAAATTATCCAACAGTAATGTAACCAAAAAAAATTACGAATTCGCTCAATTAATCTGGAAAGAATTTAATATAAAAACATTAGGAGAGTATTCTGATTTGTATCTTAAAACTGATGTTCTTTTATTAGCTGATATATTTGAAAACTTTAGAAGTAATTTTTTAAAAACTTATCGCTTAGATCCTTTACACTACTATACAGTACCAGGGCTAGCTTTTGATGCAATGTTGAAATATACTGGTGTTGAGTTGGAATTATTAACAGATTCGGAAATGATGCTATTCATTGAAAAAGGTGTCAGAGGTGGTGTTTCTCAGTGTACAAATAGATATGCATTAGCAAATAATAGATATATGGGTGATAATTTTGATTCAAACAAACCAGAATCCTATTTAATGTATTTTGATGTTAATAATTTGTATGGTGCATCTATGAGTATGCCTTTACCAACAGGCTCATTTGAATGGGTTGAATTAAATTTCGATATAAATCAGGAAATTAATAAATTTTTAAATAATACCGAAGGTTTTGGCTATATACTTGAAGTTGATCTAAAATATCCGGAGGAATTATATGATCTACATAAAGATTTACCTTTATGTCCTGAACACTTTTTACCTCCAGACAGCAAACATACAAAATTGGCAACTACCTTGTATGATAAAAAAGAGTATGTAATACACTATAGAAATTTAAAACAATGTTTAGACTTGGGATTAAAATTAACAAAAGTACACCGAATTTTAAAGTTTAAAGAGTCACAATGGTTAATACCGTATATAGATAAAAATACTGATTGTAGAAAAGCTGCAAAAAATGAATTTGAAAAAGATTTTTATAAATTAATGAACAATTCAGTTTTCGGTAAGACTATGGAAAATGTTAGAAAATATAAAGATGTTAGAATAGTTACAAGATGGTCTGGTAGATATGGCTTCTGATATGATTTGTAAACCAAATTTCCATAGTCTTACAGTTTTTGATGAAAATATGGTTATTATTGAAATGACATGTGCTGAAGTTAATTTTAATAAACCAATCTATGCTAGTTTTTGTATCTTAGATATGTCAAAAACTTATATATACGACTTTTATTATAATTATGTAAAGAAAAATTTTAAAAATGACGATTCTAAATTAATGTATACAGATACAGATAGTCTAATTTATCACTTTACTGTACCTAATATATACGAAATCATCAAACGTGATATTGCAAAGTTTGATACCTCTGACTATCCACCAAATAATATTTACAATATGCCGTTAGTAAATAAAAAAGTTTTAGGATTAATGGAAGATGAAAACAATGGTAAAATTATGTCGGAATTTGTTGGATTAAGAGCAAAACTTTACGCTTTTCAAATATATAAATCTGAAGAAGATCAAACTCAAGCATATGAATCTGATGAAGAAATAAAAGATGATACGGTTAAAATGCGAGCAAAAGGTGTCAAAAAATCAACTTTGCGAACTATAACGTTTGATGATTATAAACAATGTCTATTCGATAATATAAAAGTAACAAAAGATGAATATGTTATAAAAAGTAGAAATCATGAAGTTAATACACTTCTTCAAAAGAAATTAGCTTTAAGTTGGGAAGATGACAAACGTCAACTTCTCGTAAATAGTACAGACACTTTACTATGGGGTTATGAAATACCAAGTTCACAAAAGTTGCCAATTTTAAAAAAAACTATTAAAAGACCAAGATTATTGTAAATTCAATTTTTTAAGTAATTATATTGTAAGTAATTAAATTTTTAGTTAGATTTTAAGTAATTAAAAAATTAATATTATGCTTTTTTTTGTAATAATAATAAAAAAAATGGAAATTATAAATAAAACAAAAAAAATTTTTTTCTGTTAATTTTTCATGTTTATAGATTTTTTTTATTTTAAAGTATAATTTTTAAGAACATATATAAGTACATTTTTTAACATGAATTTAATTGAAATAATTGATATTTTATTCTCAATTATGAAGATTTGATAAGAAATTCAAACTTGTGATAAGCTGTTCCGAAATAATTCAAGTGAAGTTCTCCTGCTGATGCCAAATCGATTAGAGAAGTTAACTGCTCTTCATCATCAATCAGCTTCTGGTTGGTTCGTTCCGGGAAGAAGATTGAAAACTCGTTTTCCAGAATTCCCAAAATTTTTGGTCCATATTTTGTGTTGACTTTCTTAATTTCCGTGATTTGATAAATCTTGTTCAGTTGCAGTTCTTCAAACTTTTTAGTTGGTAAAAAGTTCGGTAAGTTGTTGATTTTATTGATAGCATTCAAATCCATTTTTGAATTATTAAGCTAAGAAATTGATAGAAAATAGTTAATAATAATAGAAATTAGTTATAAAATAGAAAAATGAAATAAATGACTTACTTGATTTTCCGTAGAGTACACAATTTTAAATATTTTTAACAAAATACACAAGTTTTTTTTAAACTGAACGACTGATTGAAGTAACTGCAGGCAGAGGACTGAAATTTGGAGGCAAGTAAGTATAACTCCCCACCAACGATCCCCTCCTAACGATGACGACGTCAAAAACAGGTTTAAACTTGTCGGATGACGTAAAAACATGATGTAATCGAGAGAGTAAGGGGCTAAAAAACGTTAAAATTCAAAAAACTTTTATCCTACGTCGATAAAACAGAACATCATTCGGCATAATAACGATGGTTGATACCCACAATCGATAACATAGGTCACTAATTGACATCAACTGTCGATAAAACTTACCTCAAATCAATAAATGAACTTCAATACCTCCATTAGATCCCACCAGAGCGGCGTAAGTATCGATCTTTCTCGCATATACTTATACCACAAATCATTTGAATATATATAAAATTCATCATCACATCAAATAAGTGCATATCACATCAACACCAAAGCTGATACACGGCACAGGTATCAGCTCTGCCGTTGGGGTGGTAGCATTTTGATCTCAAACAATCGATCACCAAATCGATGATAATCCCCCAAATCGATGATAATCCCCTGTCTACCTAGATGTAGTAGAAGATGGGTCAATGAATCCCAAACGGCTCCAAGTAGGCACAAGGACCAACCGTATACCGTATGTAAGGCGTATCCATGGACTACGGTATCTGCAATCAATTTTATAACGCGAAGACACATTACGATGCCTATGATTCCGGCGCAGTAGGTGCCGAAGCCAGTAAATTTCCCCCACGTTTTGGACCAAGCGCTTTCCGCTAGGTGCTCTAAAACCTCATTGAGAGCATTTATCAGGGATGGATATCCCCTAGAATGGTTAGTGAATTCCTGCGCCATGGTTTCCATTACCACGGTTTGTTCCATGGTGAACATGATTCTGCCTCTCATCGCATCAAGGTCCTTCTCCGAATAGATTCCTCCGGTGGCCAGGTTGGATGGATTTTGATACTTCCAACTCATCCTGGTACTTGGCTTCAACACTTTCGGTGGTAGAGTCTCGACCGGTTTCGGCATAAATTTATACCAAATGTTTCCTATTTTATAATATTGTAGAAGAGGGGAATTGCACGGCAATTCGGTGGCGTAGTTGGTGATAACGTGGGTCCGGGGGGTGAGGAACATGCTTTGATTTCCTCGTTGGACTGAGATCCGATTGTAACAGGCGTCCTGGTGTTGAATCTTGACCTCGACTGGGACACATTGGACAATGTGTACCACTTCTCCTGCTACCACAGCCATGTATCCGGGTCCCTCCATGTACCGGAAGGCGAATTCATCTGGTTGTGTTGAGGCTATCGAGAGAGTGTTCTTCAACACTTCCTTTTCTAACTTACAACGTTTTAAAATTACATCTTTATATAATGACTGAGTCTGAGACCTTATGTAGCGTTCTACATAAATAAATTTTGCGTTTGCATATAGGAAAAGGTCCATGTTATCAGAGTTAGGACCCACTACGTTATTTTTCTTTAATGTTTCTAAATCTTTACTCGATATTATGGATAATTTAGGATGTTCTGTTTTAGTCAGAGTAATCCCACATGAGGTCTCAGTCCCAGTCGTATTAAGTAAGAAACTGGTATCTCTTACACTTAATGAGTATACCGCCTCTGTCTTAGTCGTTAATTTAATGGCTGGGCCACTGTATAATATTGTATACGTTTTCGGAATGCAATACTTGCGGGGTAATGCATGCCAAAAAGTATAACCACCTACGGGGTCAATGCAAGATCCCTTACTTAATTTGCAAGAAGTTCCTGATGGCAAGTGAACTTTGTTATCGACAACTTTTACGCGAGCTAGTTGGAATTTTAGAGTGCTTTTAGCCGTACCGATAACAAACACGTTGTCCCAAGTGCCAAAAGGGTCACTATACTGGGCATTAGTGCAATCCGCGTTACTGTTTACGCTTCCCGCAAGTGTAATACTTCGAGTCGCCGTAATATTTGGAAGAAATCCATCGATAAAAGTGTTCCCGATACGCAATGTGCCATGGTCGTGCGCGACCTGACACATTTCGTGACTTATCGGAAGTATATACTCATTTATCCCGTTGTTTACGATCGAATTGTAAGATTGCCACCCACAGTGTTGAATTACTCTGTGGATTTCAATCTTGCATTGTGTAATTTGAATATGTTCAAACTCGTTTAGTTGTAATAATGCAATATCTTTCAGTGTGGTCTCAATAGGCTCAGTATCGAGATCACACTCATCAATATCCACTAAAGAAATGGTCGTCATGTTCAATATCTTGTTTCCGCAATCATAACCTATGATTGGCCCGGCTGGCCCCCAGCAGATGGCCATTATGAGAATGATGATGGGATCCATAGTTCTGTAAAGAAATTAATTACGGCCTAAAGTCGGGGTCAGAGACCACGACTTTAGTACCCTTGGCCTTGGGTTGTGAAACCTTGATATTCGTTTTCTTTAGCCGATTTGGGTGTACGATTTTAGTTTTACTACCGATTTTTATTTTGATATTCCCGTTAGGGAATATTTTTTCAATTTTATATGGACCATCATAGT